GTAGTATGTTATGTCTATATGCGGGGCATTAATCTTACGGTACAGACGATTCCGGCATATGGATTCTAGGACATCAAAACATCAGCTCCAGGTCTATAGGCAAAAATGTAAACAGTTACGTGAGCTTATTCTTTATAGCTAAATTAACGGAAAGCAGCGGTTATTTAAATGAATGTTTTGGATTCTTTGGGGATTTTCGTCGAATTGGTCGATGAAACAAAAAATCATCATTTGAAATTTTTGTAACCAGACAGGGAAATTTGTGAGGACTTTGATATTTTTTAGAATCTTCAACATTAGTAATCTCATCAGTGTGCGGTTTTTTAGAACAACTCAGGTAGCTATAAGCCAGTAGAGAAAAATGGAAAGCCAAACTGTCGGGCGAAAATCAAAGTCATTCAGAGTTTAGACAGTTTCAGGTGTATTTTGATCTGTCGTCACATCAGCCCGGTGTTAAATGACCTAACCTGTGGAAACTTTACTGGCTTCTTCACGACAGCATTCGGCTGTTGCTCCCTTTTTTGTTTCGCATCCCTGGCCGTGTACCGTTGATCACTCTAAATAGCTCTTTCCACACCGGTTATTGGGTGGCTTCGGTAGTATAAAAGCATGAATTTTTAGTGGAAAATTGATGGTGCTCGAAAACATCGAATATATCACACTTTTCCAACAACTGAACGTAGAATCGTTATCGGATCTATAAGTTAGGGTGAAAAGTTTAGAGGACCAAGATAGCAACCACTTTTTTGCTTCAACACCGAAACTGCGGCTTAGATGGTCCAAATAAACTGACTATAGACTTTGTGAATAAAGTGCTACGCAGAAAGACCAGAAAATTCACAAACCAACACTGCAGTAACGGGCCATTTCGACTTTACAATTTGACATATAGCTGTCTCCGGATTAGAATGTCACGTGTTTGTTTCCACCAAGACGTTTCCAGCCGCCCAACTGCCTGATTGACCACAGACAGTTTTCGTTCAACTTGACAACCAACACACGTGAATTAAAAATCGTCTGCTATAATTCTGACCACGTAAATTTTAGTGCATAGTCACACCACCTCATCTAGCGCCTATCATTTGCTGCCTGTTTTTTGGTTGCTGATTTGGGCTACTAAGCCTGCTAACAATATCTTGCTTGTCTGGCGACCAGTTCGTTAGTTAAATGAAAATCTAGAGCCAGAAAACTTTAAAATTACGTTTTGGCGCCGAGGCGAACAATTTTAAATGTACTTTTAAATGGTTGGATCATTCCGCAAGGTTTTATTGAACTCCGTTCCCCCGCTCAGAATTCTGCGCATCTGTTGTTGAAATTTTGCTGATCGTTTTGGCAGGCCTCGTGAGTTCAAGATAATTGTCAAATTTGATGACGTCCCGGTAACGAACACTGAAAACCGTCCTCGAATAAATCACGCTATGAGCTCAAGGTTGTGGAATAAATTACCGTAGATTTTTCATCAGTGCGTGCTGTCTTGTAAAAAAAAGAATTACCGATTCGCTCGCCACAAGCCTGACGTTTACAGCGATGCGAAGTGAAGGAACCCTAGAAGCATGTTTTTTTTGCACTGAGGTACATTGCTCAGGCAGTAAGCTACTAATGTTCAGATTGAACAATATTTCTGAATATGTATTTAGCTGGTTCCTGAAACGAATTCGTCAGTCATTCGTTGTTCTTCCACTGAACATTTCTACCTGGTTCACTGACGCCACGGTGGTGGTTCCAAGCGAGTAAGTTGATGATCGCTGAAGATGAGGAAATGACTTCACAGGTAAACAAGTAGTACTCTATAGGTGGCATTATATTTGGAAAAACAAATCACACGTTTGTATCATTGTTCGATAAAGAATAATTTTGGAGACTGTGTTGTACAGACCAAGTTGTCGTGTCCTTATGCCGTAAGCGCAGTTTTATGTGGTGAGATATAAACGTAGTGTCGCATCTTATGCATAATCACGTTATTTCGTTCGTTAATTACGGTTCACTTGGTGCCATGATAGAGTGTTACATTGTATTTATTTAGAAGTCCCATATAACGTCATATCCCTTAAGCACGGTCTTCCAAACAAAGAGGGCGGATTATGTTTCGTCCCGTTGGGATGAAACTACTGAAGCAAATGGATTAGTATTCCCGAACAGCCTTGCTGTAAGTCAGGTTGTTTCGTCAGAGTGACGTATTATGCACAAACTGAGAAAAGACGCCTGCTTATCCAACTGCGTGAGAGAGAGATAATTCCTATGTGGAGCTGTTTGTACGTTTGTTGGGTTTAATTACCGTTAAGGCACACAAGTAATGCCATCAGAGTAAGCAATAATTCACAGAATGATAACATGACTTGTGTGTATTTCTTGAGTACGCCGTAAAGCTGCAGCAGGTACGACTGCTATTGGACCACATAGTTTGTCGTCATACTTGCAATGTTTACTTTCCTTGTTCAGGTCGTCTGTTGGAGTGCTAGCATCACTCGGTTAGTACGTGATGCCTCATTTTAACGCGACGTTCAAGCTGAGAGAAGATACGTTGAAAGATAACTCAAAGTTTGCTGAAAAGTCCATCCACAATTAGTCTCGTCCCTCTTGGGGCTCATTGGGTAGGCTCACTGTCTAAGTTTCAGTCAAACTTTTGTTCATCTTGAATCCAAATTGAACAGATTTTGACAAACAGTCATTTGCATACCAGTTTAGCTTTGACGGCAGACTCATCTGGAACTCAGCTGAACTTCTCTTTTATAGTACTTCTAAGCAACTGACTGTGTTGCACCAGACCGTTTCATGTTTCAGTTTGCACGATATGCATGATACCGTGGTAAATTTCTTAGATATAACACGACTCATAAGGTTGCCGAAAATTTTCTACAGACGAATGTATGACTTCGTGCTATTCGGGTTCAGACAAATCATAAGTTTACCAGAAAATCGAGGAAATACATGATGAGCCCAAAAAACGGTGAAACAAGCCGTGGGCTGTTGTGGAAATTCAAGCAACCCTATGAGTAATGAATTACGCCTATAATTTTGGAGGCTATTTTTGAAAATCTTTTTCTATCTCACAGATGCAAGCTGGGTTGAAATGTATCATATGGTTCGCTGTTCTTGACAGAAAAATCTGGGAAGACCCAGATTTTTTTGAAACAGAGTAGTACAGCCTATATTTTTAAGTTTGAACTCGACAAATTAGATGCGATCAACTGTAAATTGTGACTAATCGGTTGCTTCCCTTGGATGAGTGTTCTGGTGGGAAGTTTGTCTATCGAACTTCAGCGCCGCTTAGCCGTAGGCCTAGTTTATCGACTCAAACTATGATAGTGAGAGCAGGGTCTTGCCTGCTCCTCAGTAACAAAGAAAAGTTGTACGATTACTTATAACCAGCCTGTTGGCTGCAGAGTTAGAGTTTTCAAGAAGGGTAAATTATCCACTCAGTTATCTGTCAGACACTCTTACGAGATTAGTGCTTTTGTGTTTTGCCAAATTACACCGCAGAGAGCTGATGTAGTCGCTGCGTCATCGTGTGGTCTTTTGTGAACGAGGCTATCAGGTTCCAGAATGACCCTCTGATATTCCGTGAAGGAACATTTAGTCGCAGTACCTCCAGTACGGAACGCCGATCTTTAGCAGATAGGTGAACTATGGACATGGAAACACCCACAGCCTCGGAAGTGTTCCAGTGTATATCTTTACGCAAGTGACTTTGTGATCCTGGTCCTGATGACCTTCTACGTGCCCTCTTAGGAGATGGCAATGAATTCTTCACTCAGTGCCTCTCTGGCCTGGTTGCGTCTACTTAGGAAGACGAAAACGTCCCGGACAACTAAGGTGAGTCAATAATAGTGCCCACACTTAAAAACAGACACTTGCATTGAACACAGAATCCACAAGGTTGTTAGTTCGACTGTCGTTAAAACGGGGCCTCTAGAATCACAGGTTCGTCGTCTTATGGCATCACGTAACTCCCTAATCGCTGAACATCATGCAGGATTTCGACCAGTTAGAGGTTGCGTTAACTACGTTTTCACCTCCGTTGTGTTTACCAGCAACGCTATATGTACAGAGGGCCAAAAATCTTTGCCTTCCTTGGCTTCAAACATGCGTTGAAATGCTGAAATTCCTCATCCGGAGATGCTGGAGAAGAATTTGGACATAACTTGGTTCCCGTATTCACATGCTTCTGAATGTGTGTGAATGTATGGTGAGGTCTCTAAAATCTTCACTCTTTTTTTTCAATTTGTTGCTCATAAGCAATTGGAGTAGGCGCTGAAAGGTCTTCAAAACCCCAGAATTCATTTCATCGCTACAAAGAAACCGGTTGACCTGAATTAGACCGACAATATCTTTCCCATCTTTAGCTGAAGGAAAAGCTCAGGTCCGATTCAATGGACCGACTACCTTCATAAAATCTTTCGCCAAGCGCCTCGCAGCCTCAAAGTGAAACGCATGCTTCAGAACTTGCAGTTTCTGAGCATACTTCCCGGAATTCAAGGAAAGGGTTGTGGAGAGTTTTACATATCTGACTATTTATTTTAGCTTCAAAGAAAGCGTATTTAGTAAAATCAGTACAATAATCTCAGGGGTCCTAATCACGTATGCTAATTCGCGTCACTTGTGGCTTCAAGACGGCATATCTCTCGGTTCACTTACACAAGGCTACGACAAGGGCTGCACTGTTGTATGGTTTCAGGAATGGCCTCTGTCACCTGATGTGAGACGTCTTCAGGTTTGTAACCTCAGGAGCGTTGCTGGTGTCGGATGGCGTCAACGGCTTCGTAACGAGGCAATTTGAAAACAGGTATATGGCTGTGCAGCAGGAAAACATCCATCAGCATTCACTGCAGTGGCTCGGCCATATGCTATGCATACTATACTGTTGTTGTTCCCTGTTCCACCTTGACAACTAGCGAGGTCGACAGCTTATGAATCAGGAGAAGGGTATTAAAGAGATCACGATGAGTTTGGGTGTTGTTGGTGCGGTACGCCTTCCAGGATGGGATCCTTGTGACACTCACCGCGCTTGACCGGAGAAACGTAAAAAAATGGAGGCCGATCGATATAAGTGGAGTTGGTGGTCTTTTTAATTGAGCGCTCGGAGGCATAGGCACATCTTTGCAGCGTTGGGTCCCCTCCTTCTCCAGCTGTTTCCTGTCATTTTTACTCTGAGGTTAAATAAACTTAGTGGTTGCATGGCTGTGAAACCTCAGTACCAACACTGATGTCACCGCCTCTGATGATAAAGTTTGACAGCTAATAATGTGTACAAATATTGGTAGCTCGGCTGAGTTTATTGGTTGTTGATTTGTTCGCCGAACTTGGCAATTAGCTTGCAAACGTTTCGTCACCATACGAGGAGACATCATCAGTGCGCAGTTGGGTGGGTACTTGTTCCCTGCCTGCGTGCTTTAATATAGCATTCGAAGGCCATTTGTTATCTTCCGACGTAATTGCCTTCGAATGCTATATAAACGAACGCAGGCAAGGAAGAAGTATCCAACCAACTGCGGACTGATGATGTCTTCTCGTATGATGACGAAACGTTTGCAAGCCAATTGCCAAGCTCGGAGAACAGATCAACTGCCACCTGATCAACAACCAATAAAGCCTGACAGCTCCTGGCTAGGTGTGAGTGGTAATGCGCCTGTCAGCTGTGTTCGACTTTGATCAGGTGTTCGTTTGGCCTTAGTGGAACATACTTGCGAGTGGCGACTTCTCGGATGGTATTTCTACCCATGAAATTATTGTTCTTCTTGGTCACTTATAGGTCTATAGACTTAGTATGATATTTCAAAGGTTTCAACTGCAAGTGGAGTCAATTTGTGTCAAAAATCCAAGGAGCACTGTTTTCTCATTGTAAATCGTTAGGTGTGCAATTACCACAAGGCTCAGTTTCGAACATGTGATTTTTGTGTTGCTAGTTGAGTCCAAAGTGCCAGTCAACATCTCATCGGGTGCTGGGGTCTGTTTGACTGATGAATGGGCGCTGCAATCTCCCTTCCAAGCGAAAGTCATTCAGGTGAAATGTTACGCTTTCAAACACTGGTCGGAAAATCGCAGGTTCAAAACTTTACGAGTTCCGTAATTCAGCTACTTTTGACGAGTACCTATCTGCATGGATTGACCAAAGTGAAGGGAGGAAATCTCACACCGTCGTTTGTGACATTTTTTGTGTAACTTATTTCGGAAATTCAGTTTACATTCGTGGTTCACAACAAAACAACGTCCGGACATGCAAAAGAGAAGCGATAACCCAATTATGCATGGCCATTTTACTATTTCTTCTGTTTGAAAATATAACAACATAACAGTATCATGAGAATTTATTCAAAATGAAACTGCATCAGAAATTTATTTCCGTTTTCTCTTCAGGTGCTCTCGGAAGCGATTCATTTGCACACGATACAGCTAAACTGCTCGGATGTTCAAAGTGTTTTTATTTTGTCATTCAGCAAAGTTATAATCAGATGTGACACACATCAGCAGATGCCTTGTCCATTAATTGTTTTTCTTTACTAATTACTGCGGACAGCGGAGGGGTAAAATACGACTTTCACCCACATCATCACACTCGGCAAACTGTAAACTGAAAAACAATGTTCATCTGCACGCAAACAATTTGGAAGTGACAAAACCGCTTGATTATTCCTTTCAATCCGAGTTTGAGGGTGCGCGTTACATGTGGATGTACAGATAAAACTGTGCAAATTTACCCCTTGCTCAGTTTGTTCCAATTTATCGTGGGTTTGTCTTCTAAACAACTGAGTGGAATTCATGCGTCAAAATGAAGCAGAATTAGCTTGATATTTTGCTCAGCATCTTTTACCAGACTTTAGCTTGACTCACATAAAAAAAGAAATATTTGATCCACACAAACAAAACCATTTTGTAGTTTGCAGAATTTATGCCTTTTTATGGTATAGTTCAGAACCCGCTTTTGATGAACAGTGGGGCCATGAATTGCCAAGCAGACATTCAGTTGGCTTTTCAAGGTCCCGTATTTCAGCAATTAATCAGATGTGCCAGTCCAAATTCCGAAATGACTAAATGAATAGCAGTCTAATATGCTGACCGTTTTAGGTTTAAAAATGCATCTGTGTCTAAGCATTGTCCTCACTTTTATGGTAGTACACTCGTCAGCTGCATTTTCGCCAATCATGACCAGAACTACATTCTCACTAGAATTACCAGACCGTGAATTTTAGGTTAAAAAAATTCTTGCTATTCTTTACTGTTTTAATCCCGTTGCAACTCGATTCTTGGTTTTTAACTTAACGGGGATTTCGTGTTCAAATAGACAGTCATACTGGTGTACGAAGAGTACCTGAAAAGCACAGCTCCTTAGTGACGGTAAAACACCTATGAATGTGATTCTTTATCTCTGATATAAAAATCAAACTCCGCAGAAACGTTTGTGTGTCAAGTAAGTCATCAGGCCGTCATTTGAAGGGAGGCAGTACGTGGGGATATTGAGTTGGACGTCGTAACGAGCTCCCAACATCCCATTTCCCCGTTCAATGTAGACAGTAAAACAAGCATCACTTGCACTTGACAAGTGTCAGACAACATGCGACCGGATGTTACGGAACGAAAATTGCACACAGTGTTGCGATTTGTGAGCAACGAGAAACTTCGATTGAGGCCGAAACAGAATATTATTGTCTACAGAGTGTTTGAAATTACGCAATTGGACAATCAGGTTTTGTGGCAACTTCCCGTAGTTCATTATGCGGCAGCGAAAATCGCGCAGATAGGATGTCATTATGTATTGTCTGTTCAAACTACTACTGTGGAATTGTCGCGATTATACTTTATTCTTCCCCTAAGCAGAGAAAATTGCCGAACCGCTCACCATATAGGTCAGAGGGGTAGCTTTACGTCAAGAAAGTGAACGATAAAAATTCTCTTTTAACGGGCATTTGCTTCGATCAAAATACGGTAGGCTAACCATTCAAATGGCCACGTGGTTTGCTGTTGAATATCAATGCTATGTTGACATCTCAATTGTACACATTTTATTTTGGGCAAAAGTGAAAAATGAAGTGAAGTAATCTCGGAAGGATTATCGTTCATATCGCATTGTCAAATTGAATCTTACATTGAGTATGTGACAAGCTTATCAAGGCCATCAAACGAAGTATATTAATCAGCATCTCTAAAGAATTGCTAACTTCCACTTTGTTGTTTTAGTCAAAACTATAGTTGTATGAGGAATGAAAATAAACGTTGTGAGTTGAAACTCTCAATTTCATTATATTCACCACGTGATCATACCATTATCATTTTCTAACCCCTACTTTTCATGGTGTTAAAGAGCCTTCAACGATTACAATGTACATGAATTATACCCCATTTTGAGCAACTTTCGTGCGGGGAGCACAAGATTTCTGCATCTCGGAGCTTTTTGCTGCTCTTTCTAATATGTGACAGAAGAAGCTGAACACTCTGGAGGCCGCCCGTTTAACTACCTAACATGAAACCCCCACACAGAACCCTACAAATCGAATCGAAAAACATGCAGTGTTAGATTTGGGTACAGAACAACATTTGTTCGTCAAAACATTTGGTACGAAAAGGAAACTCTGAGGGCACAAAAAATTACCAGAGATCACTAGAACACGGGAAGCGCCAGAAATCTTCTTGATTCCAATGACCTTCAGGTGAGTTCAAAAAGCTATATCTTCCACTTTGGGTCACTGACCGACAAGTCCACGTACAGAAATGCTTCGTACACACGCTTGAGCATGATTTCAGAAACGACGCGTATCAATGACTTGAAATCAGGCACGTGATGAGCACCGTAACTTTTGGAATGTGCAACGCGGGTCTCTCGGTGGGATCGGTATACTCACAACCCGCCTAACAGATACAACTGGAACTGAAATTAACCTTTCCAATCTGTCTGACACCCGTTGGAAGAAACGACCTCATACCGCACGGCTAAGAGAATGTCGCTTTTTCATCCGTAACTAACTTAAAGCGGCCACATTACGTGATTCCTGGGTACATCTGTAAGGGATTATGGTCAGGAACGATGCTGACTGCCTATTTCCCTTGTGTGTGTGTGTTCGCCTACTGGTTTTTATCCCATAGATCAAAATCAGACGGACCGTCTCCGGCCCGAGAAGCATCGCCAGTGATTGTCATTCGGTAAGCAGGATTCCAGCGATCCAAACTCTCCTGATAAAAGTCCGATTCGAATGCGAGTCATGCAAGTATGCAGCGTGACATAATTGCTGTTAAAGGCATTTGCCAGCGAAATTCTCTGTTCAACTGTCTTTCTACAAAAGCTTGGTGCACGCATCGGCTTTGCCGCCGAGCATTTCGAAACCATTGGACGCCTGTTCTTCCTCGTATATCCATTTACGGCACTTCAAGCGACATCTGTGTACCAGAGTGGTTCTGAGTGAACCAATTCCTGTTCTCTAGCTTTGCTATCTGGACCACTGAGCACGCTGAGGAATCACAAGTTTGATTCCGGCAAAACCTGCACCCTCGTTTTGCAATGGGCTTTCGGTTCGGCCTGCACTGCCTCGCTCATTTTGCAGCAATGAGAGGCGTCGCACCTCAAATTTCCGAGATCGGCATATACAACCGTAACTTAGTTTAAGTAGCAGAGCAACCTCGATATACCCTAACCTCGTTATCCGTGAACACAAGGTTAATCTAGAAGACTTCGTCAAGGAATTTTAACGAGCGTGCCGGGGATTTTGCCGTTTAATCAACTATCAAAATTTATAGATATGGATACTGTATACTTCACAGGGTGAAAAAGCGTACAGGACGCTACTTAAAGTCCGTTTGGTTATTTTGCCTCTGTTGTATCTTGCGGTGGCCGCCTCTTGTTACGCCCGCACTGAGCCTGCCAGACTACGCGATGGGGAGAAGACAGCGAACTGGGGACACGGCTGTATTGCCAGGACAAAACATACATAGCGTCTGCGTAAATATATAGGATGACTAATTGGCCAAATATGATCGTTCACTTGTGCAACCAGTGGCGATGTGTTCCGGTCGGGACATTCTCAGGCCCACTACACTGGTCGTATGTTGCTGGGACATGTTTGGTGAGAGCCGCCAACTCACCTACTTTCCGGACGTGTCGAACCGATGGTGACTTTGGGGATGCGTCACTCTCTGCACGTGTACATTTTTTCCTGTCTGGGCGCGTCCTGACAGCCTCTGTGTTGTAAAAATGGAAAATGTTATGTAATTAGTTGTTCGGTCGGGCGGTTCCATTGGTCGCTCCGTTGTCCTGTGTCCCCATTCGCCGATGCCCATGTGATCTTTGAGCTTGGCATCCCCTGCCGTCGTAGTCTGGTCGATGCTGAAGTGACCTTTGTCCCTTCGAGTCCCAGCTTGTGACTTCTATTGATTTGGCTCCAAGGAGTTCCTTGTTTCTTTGTTTGCAAATCCAACATTCGGTCCCCCCCTGAGTGTTCCGGTTGAGATGTTAGTCTTCCACACGTAGGGGTGCGTAAATCGGATCCAGTTCGATGCAACGGTTGATCGAATCTTCCGTGGAGTGCCGTGCTTCTAGAAATTCTTTACCGCGTCTCAAGTCTCCCTATGCCAAAATTTTTGCGTTTTCCAGGTTGAATCTGTGGCCTATTTGGTCCTCGTGTATGGATATCAAGAACAGGAGGTCATGTCTCCTGTTCCTTTATTCGTGTATAATTAAACACGTGTAACACTACTAAACGCACAACCACTAAGCAACCGCTGCGCATCACTACGTTCCCCAATAACGCACTGATGATGCTATCTCGATTGGTGATGGAACGTTTGCAATCAAATTGCCGAACTCAGCGAACGAGCCAACAACCATCTGCGCTAACTGAGCTATCAACATTTTACTCTATAGAAAATGGTACGCAACCTAATAAAACGAAATGGGAAGACCCTGTAAATGCCGTTTAGAAGGCCGGGATAAAGCCCCGATAATTTGGGAACAGATGGTTGTAGACAATAGATTCACGCAGATGCCGTTAGAGGCAGAAAACACTTGCAAACAAACACCTGATTGTGCATTTGTGGTGTAATCGTTGTTGCTAAAGATCGAACAAGGTTGGGGCAATGGGACAATCCTCTCCTGTCCTGTATCGATTTTCCTATCCGTTGATGCAAAAATAAACACCATGGCTCTTCCCCAGTTTACAAAGCCCTAATCTGATCGATAGCTTTTGTTTAGGTATCGAGGCTTCCTAAGGACAATCCGGAATATTTTTTGTTGACTAATTCGCAGACTTTGAAAAAGTTTGCAAATTGTGAACACCGACCAAGCTTTCCAAACCAACTTCTATATTTTACAAACTCGGATTGCAGTATCTCCCATAACATTTTTTCCGAACCATTGGAAACATGTGGTTCCCAAGCCTTCTGGATGGATAAAGAAATACGTGTCGTTGCGATTAGGCGCCAAGTTCAGCAATATTGCATTTTTGTGCTCATATTGTAGATTTCTCCCGAATGGCTGCCGGTCATGTGGCTGTAAAAGGCTTCAGCGCCTCCGTGTGTTCACTCTACTGCTTGCATTTTAAACCTGTCACTAGACAACTGTATGAAAATGCTCACACAAGCTCAGGAAACGAGTCTGCTCACACATGCCATGTATTCTCACAGGGAATTGTCGTCACCTGACTAAGAACCTCAGCTGCTGTTACCAGCTGTTTAATCTTTTGGTCCAAGTACATCATTGCCGACATATTCTCCTCTTCTAAAGGGTGTTGGGGCTTAGAAAAGAAGAAATCGTGCTGACTTGAAGTTGCTTCCACGAGTAGTCCATCTCAGTGACATATGTCGCTCTTCTCGGAAAAAATACACCGTGATCTTGTACCTGGTTTGAACGAGCTGTTCGGCAAACGACCAAAGCTCTTTGAGTTCGGCCAACTTGACCGAAAATTTGCAGGGATATCAGATCTGTCTACTATATTCAGCCCATTATTTACTGCATTTTCGCGGATGGCGTTGCATCGAAAGAAGTGTGTACGACCATGGTTAGACGGTCAGACGAATCTAGCTTTCTCTATCATCTACCACCCAAACTACTCAAACAGTGTGCCGATATCCCCAGCAAACCAATATTGATATTCAAGTGGTAACGCACTACTGAATGCAGTTGCTGAAACCTCTCTGACCCTTTGAAGATCGCTCGTCTTCTTTAAGCCGAATTATTACATCGAATGATGGATTGTTGAATTACTTTTTGCTCTGTTCTACCAATTTGATTTGTAACAAACGTGTGCACTTTCGTATGAGTCAAATGGTTGACCTGCGTTGGTGCGCACTATGGAACATGGCCTAAACATACACTGATTCTGGAGCTGCAAGTTCGTACTAAACCACCAATGAAAAGATGGTTTTACTAAACGCTTTCTCAAACTTCATGCCCCAAATTGACCGCATGTACACACTGAACACTCCGACAGAAAATAAAATAGCCATTTGATCTATAAGTGTTGTTTTATCGATAAATTTGATTAGATTCGGCCTATCGATCGTTTTTCCAGTAGTTATAACGCCTGAAAAAAACATGTACAAGCATGTGCATGCACAGTGGAGTTCGCAGGTCATCAAAAGTAGTCCTGCACATGTCCTTTATGTATGACATCAGTGGTCTGCGATGCATGCGGACGGGTGGGTAGGGGAATAGTCCGTGACTATGACGAGAACTCGACGTGGCAAGAGCAGACATATCACACAATTTGTGACAACGGATCTGCTTGCTCCCTACCGAAATAATCGTCTATCAAGTCGCCAGAGCCGCCGGTTTGCGCCTGTATCTGTGCCTGCAGATCTTCCAAGCTGCTTTGGACGCACTCTAGCATTTTTTTACTATCAATGTGAATCAGTTCGTCGTCGAAACCTGTCAAAGTGGTTTTAGCCATGGGATCGTTGTGAGTTTGAAAGAACGATTGCAAATTTAAAGGAACAGGAAATATTATAGTTGATTCCTTTCCGGACGATATACTGTTCACAGCCTGAAGGTAGCGTAGTTGCAGAGCGATCGGATGTTGTTTGATTTCGAAAGCAGCCGCTTTCAGGGCCCCGGCAGCACGCATCTCACCCTCGGCCGCGATCACTTTGGCGGTAGCTTCACGGACGGATTCGGCCTCAGCAGCCATGGCTCTTTGCAGCTGGATGGGCAGACGTACATCTTTGATTTCAACACGCTCCACCTTAACCCCCCAGGCTTCGGTGACTGAATCCAAGCATTCCTGAGGAGGAAAAGTGACACTTTGCAGTGGTTAAGAGTTATTGTGATGATAAAGTGGAATATGAGCTCATGTACTCTTACATTTGTTTGCAAGATATCACACAAAGTTTGACTGACTTCAACCCAAGCACACCATCTTTCTGAATGGCGAGGGTTGAGTGTGGATGTTTCGAAATTCGGATGAGACCAAGCAAATGATCATTATAAGTGGTTTTTGTAGAAACAATAACGTTGGGTAATCGAAGTTACCACACCCGTAAACCTGTCCGGTCGATCGACACAAATAAAACTCGATGTATGTCGATAACTGGAGACCCCTTGAGTAATTGGTGACCGCTGGAGATGACGCCTTTCGTACGGTCGGGCCTGTAGATTCACGTTAGCTTCTCGCTTGTCCGAGGGCTATATCATCACCACACTTGCACGTAATAGAAAACCTGTAGATCTTCACACCACAAAGACACAAACGCGTCACCTTAGCTTTCAAGTAAACGTAATCATTCCGGTAGAAGAGAGCCTTACGGGCAATCCACCTGTTCTTACTTGATTAGGCGTACTTGTTGAACCTGGGTTTTCGGAACACCGGAAGAGATTATCTTTTGTCGAACACACAGTACTAACAGGTGAGTTTTTATAAATCATGGTTCTTACTCTACGTGCTTTTCTTTTTGCGGATTCTCTTCCAAAATCTACGCGTGGTTTAATTACGAGACTTTTGGCCTCAAGCAAACAATTTAATTAGCTGTGAAACCAAAGCAGCTATTATCACTATTTCGGTTGCGCCAGGCAGATGTGGCCATTAGTGGAGGGGGTACACTGACTAGATCTGTCCCTTTTAGGTGAGTACTATTTGAAAAGATGAAATAACATTCGATGATTATGGTCATCCAGGAGGACGGAACAACATTTCTCTCATGGCCGAAGTATGATACACTTGGAAATGACAATGGATCATTCGGCATTCTTTCTCATCAGACATGGGATAAGCTCATGTGAAAAACATTGGTAGGTGCGTTTCGCTGCTCCACAGGGTTTGTGATCGCTAACTGGACATTGTGTAGATCACTACGTCAGGATTGCTAACTAGCCAGCTCAGAATAGTTAAACCCGTGTTTGACCCATTTCGAATGGCTTCGGTCAAGACGCGTTTTCCTGGATGATTACGACGGTGCACAAAGTTAGGCAACCGAGTTTCGTGCTCACCGGTTCCGGTAGACGGCAAATATGCAGTTATGGTCAACATTGCATTTTGCACTTCACGTCGCCGAGTCATTTTAGTGGCCCCGAGACTAAAGTGAGTAATCTACGTAGATATCACTGGCGCAACAAAACTGACAACAGGTGTGCCTATATATAAATGAATATATATGTATATATTACGCCATTTTTTTAAAAAAATTCAATGGTACAGTGCATTTTCTTTAAGAAGAACATGAGTCAAACCATGAGCATCTGAGCTCCTAAGTTTGTGATACGGAACTGACCTAACCGCCAGACAAACTAGTCAACAACGCTGAACACTCATTTGATCGTCTTTCTTCGGGCTCATACTATCCACCAAAAGATTTATCCGGGGGTTCGACTGAATTATCACTTCAAAGATCCGTGTTCGGGATCACATGATTGGATTTAAACAGTGTGACGGTGATCAACGCACAGGTGTTTTCAGAAATACCGATTCAAAAAGCGGTTTGGTAGACAAAAAAAACAAACAGCACACGTAGATCACTCAGGACTGAAAGACTGAAAAGGCGTTTGTAGTTTGAATCGAAAGTATATTTGGCTACCTGTGAAGCTGTTATGAACGTACCGGATATATATCGCGATCCGTCGCGGAAGCTTTATATGCCACCATCCGCTGTTCCAAATTAGCACAACACCGTATTTCCATTTGCTCTACTAAGGTTTTCAGTCGTTAATGTATTTGTAAGAACAATACAGTCGAATAGATAAGCTTGTTTCGAAAACGCATAGAACAATATGAAGCCGCTACATCATAAGAAGTACCTGACGGCACGGTAGCTGTGTGCTCGACCTTGAAAGACAAACCCAGCTGGCCTATTAACCCAGTTTGCATCGTCTCGATAGTAGCGTTCAGTCCACAACGTTGTGCTTACAGCACTAAAGTTTCTGCACGCAATACAATTGGTAAAATCATAAATTACAGTTCAGTTTGTATCCAACTTGATATTCCATAAAGACTTTAACTGAATGGGCACAGCGGTTGGCGTGACAGGACCGGGAAAGTCTCCGTTGAAGACATCGCGTTTACAACTGCTGGACACACATCAGCACAACTCAGACATTCTGGGGGTATCTTTGGGCCAATCATGTAGATGCCGAACGAAACCGTACAGATGCTTGCCTTTTATTCTGTCTAGACGGAGGAAAGTTCTCCATCGAGCTGATCTAATAAGTGATAACCTGTAGGAAGGTTTCAGTTCGGTAGATAAGTAAGATATACGGATGGAAAGAATATCAGGTTTTCTACATTTTGGGATTAGTTATTGACAACGAAATTTTCAGTGTTAACCACGATGTCTTTGGAGTTCTGCGGTAAGGTAATCAATACGTTTCTCTGCTTTAGACTATCCAAAGGAGGTTTGCTAGACTACAGCCTACTTGATGGGTGTCTCGTTGGACGATACGCTTCCAGAAATCAAGCAATCCAGGACTAACGCAGACTACCCGGAGAAGTTTCTTATAGAGGAAATGATCATTTCTTGTAGACGTTTCACCACGGTGGAGTGATAAAACACTAGGCTGGAATACATAATCATTATTGTCGGTGTGCAACACTAAAGCTTCACAATTAATTCAGTGTTTTACGTGGGCTATAATACTGTCAGAGCGCCCGCACCGAAAGCTCAAAAGCCTGACTGCATGGCAGCGGTATCTGGCGGGAAATGTAAAGGCATTACCATTCGCACAAGCGAGGTCACGACATATGTTACAACCTTCAACACTGTGTTAGACAGATTTCCAACCATTGACCAACCGGATACGGGAGACGTTCCGAGAGTCACAAGGACCCGGTACAGTTTAGTGAGTCGCGGAGGCTTGAAAACCATCACATCACAAAAAGGTCTAGTTTCTTTGTGACGAAAAGGCTTAAATATAAGTGTTTTACAAAACGATTAGTAAGATACCAAGAAAAGCTCTCGGCGTGTGAGGGTATTTTCTAGACTACTCTAAACATAGTATATATATTTATATTGTATATATTTACCGTATATATGTATATGTATACGAAGTATATATATATATATCCCTACGGTCCACGTACCACCATAAACAATGTTGTGTCGGGACAAGTAAGAAGGATTCGTCTCCGTCGACTGGGATACACCCTCTTCGAGGTGTTGAGAGCACATACTTCCACGTCGTTCATCAAACCTGACCTAATCGCTGTTCGAGATTGCCGTGCAACTGTACTGGACGTCAGCATAGTCTCGGATGGGCGTGGAGTGACAGTGTGGAATGGGAAGCAGAAGTAAGGTGCTGATGAATATTCCTTCGCCATAATCTCAGCCCTACATGCCATCGGTTGTGATATCGACTTTTTGGTTCACCAACCGATGATCATCTCTTATCGAGGGATCTGCTTTCCTCAATCCGCTAAGGCTGTTATTGGACTGGGACTTCCTAAGGTCGCAGTCAGTGACTTGTGTTTGCTTGCCATTGTGGGCTCCCTGCGTACTTATGACACTTTTATGCGTGGCACATGGCGTTGAAGGTACATTTTTGCCATTTAATCTCACACCAGACCCAGTATGACGGTCACTTTGTGCCTGATGTGCGAGTCTTGACTGTGCTAGCGCATACTGCGCCTTGAAGAGCATTCACCATTGTTTGTCCTTTCTTTGGTTGTTAGTCTTTAGACGCCTGTTCCCATACCAAAATCTTTACATACTTTGGGATTCACCTCATCAGACTGGCACTGTTCTTGGCATGATTTCGAATGAGACGTTTCTCTCCTTTCTCCCATATTCTCCTATTACTCTTTCGCATTAACTTTTTATGTTTGTGACCATGTTCCTCGAAAATAAATGATAATATTATTTATTGAAAAGTAGTAATGCTGTGCAATTCAGCACTGTGCTCACACAAACAGGTTTCATTTCAACCTTTGCCTCAGGATGGGGAATGTAAAACAGGCAACGTAACACACTTTAGCTGGTAGACCTTCCTGTTGTCATATTTCCCGATGTCTCCATGTACGACTGCTTTTCGCCTATACGTATTTCCCGATGCCTCCATGTACGGCTGCTTTTCGCCCATAGACTGACTGATTCAGGAACCGGTGGGGTCTTTGAAAATTGTTTGTCCTAGCTGCCCCGCTGGTTTTGTTTGTCGTTGTCATAGGACATCTCAGTTTAAAGTTTTCACCCACAGAAGGAGTGGCTTCAGTCAAATAACTAAAGAAAACCACATTTCAGCAAAATGAATGATAAGTGGAGAAAATAGGACATCAAGTTGGGGTGACTTGTTCCTAAAATATTCCCAAGTTTGATGTGACCACATACCTGCATCAGAGCAGCAATATCTTCTCTGGCAGTTAAAAGTTGGTCCAAGTTTACCGTCCCTAATACATTCCGCAGCGTTGTTTGTCCAAGCACACGTGTCGCTCGATTCGCATCTTCGACATTGACAACAGCGCGGACCGGGTCCCGCACGCGATAGTACACAACCGCATTGACAACCACGGTGACTGAGTCCTTCGTGAGGACTTCCTGTGTAGGCACATCGAATGTGAAAGTCCGCAGGTCCAGTATACGATATCGATCGAGGCAAGGCAATACGATGATGAGACCGGGGCCTTGTGCTGTGGCCGAGACAAGCCGACCAAGGCGAAACAGAACTGCTCGCTCGTAGTGTGCGACCACCTTTTTGTGTAAAAATTTGGTTGACATTATTAAAAAGAAACCAATTTCAATGGAGGTTCAGTATAAGAGGCTGGATAAAATAGAAAGTTTGCCAACATAATTATGAATAGAACAAGGTGTGATCTTACTCAGAGTTCAGGGGGCCTCCGCTTGCGGATAGTGGTTATTATCAATTTCAGACGTCAGAGTTAGGAATATAGCCCATTATTTACGTTGTACATATAAATAGCACCGTGAACTATGGGTATCCGTCAACAAAACTCAAATGTTCCCTCAGTTGTAAAAGAGGTTCCTGGAGTAACCAAAGTATGTGTCGACACAATACAGGGTACACCAAATCGCACATCAGTGTGATGAAGAGTGGTTCAGCTTTCGAATTTTCGTTGTTATGGTGAAATTTTATCTCAGTGTAACTGTAAACGATTTCATAATGCCAGTGAATTAACGTATTTCGGTTTTTGTTTTTTGAACAATTTTAGAACCCCTCCTAAACGGATTTTAAATAAAGAAGTTTAAACCTTATCTACAGTATAAATGAGATGTAAGATAACCATTTGCACTATGCGGTTTCACGTTTTACGTTGCTAGAATCCGGCACCAGAATTAAGAAGCAAATCAGGAAACTACGATTACCAGATTGGTGGGATTAACTAGTCAGTGAAGGTGTGCTTAACTCGTTCATGAACTGTTATTCCTCACGATTCACCTGAAGTGTTGTAACTGCTCCAACGTTCAGCCGCGGATGGTTTCAATAGTTATCGATAAAGTGATATACCTTCCGGAGGACAACGCCTTTTCGAAATGGTCTACTCGAGTTCAACGGAGACAGTATAGCTGCTGGTGAACCGTCATACTGCTTTCGGTGCTAGGTCATATGTTAAGCATTTGGTTGAATGGTTATAGTGAAGGTATGGCCAGAGACTGGTGAACCGTCATACTACTTTCGGTGCATACATGTTGAACCTCGCTAGGTCATAAGTTAAGAATTTGGCTGAATGGTTATAGTGAAGGTATGGCCAGAGCTCGAAAGGCTTTGTTATGGTTTCAAAGAGGGCGAACCAGTGACTGGATTGCACTCAATTTTCAATAGACCAAGCACGCTCATACGAACCAACGGGCGTGATGTAATGTGATTAATACACAGAACTTGCAAACCATTGCAATCCACGGGAAAATCTAGGAACAACAAGTGACGGGATACATACAGTATTTACATGCTCAATGAATTTTCGTACGCAGAAGAAATTAACCCTTGTTTTATTTTCAGTGCTTTTACTCATTGGAAATTGGTTCGTATAATCTGAACGAATTTGAATCAGTGGATTCCGTTTTGTAAAGAAGTCTGTCAAATGCAGGTGACGGAATCGGTAAGTTGACAGAGGACTGTTTGGGTTCGTTAAGTTAGCTCCAAAATTAGCTTGAAGCGATTAATTGTTGTCAGGCCGATCCTAATCAGAACCGAACAGCAATTCCGGTTCATTTTTCACACGGACGCTTGTACCAACAGACTTTAAAACGTATTTATCAAGCGTTTTGTTTTTCTAATTTTATTGGTAATGTGTTGTTATATTGGTAACTTTATTTTGGTCGCAATCTAACCAACCTCCTCTAAAGCTTGAATATTAAAAAAAAGTTTTTTTTCTCGGACGTTATAATCACGAGCCTGTCAGCGACACGAGTGAGTCACCTGTGCCTCACATTGACAAGCTATCTTTTAATTATAGGGTAGGTTTGCTGTGTCCAGTTGGACTGGGCAACAACTGCTTCGGTTCGTTTAGGAGACGATTTCAACTGTAACCAGAGCAGAGAAAAAAATAATAATTTAGTGTTGCTGTCGAACGCAAAACTCATTTGCATTTCAAAACAGGTCATCGCAAAATATATGTTCGGATGTTTGCTAGTCAATGGGTAAACTATTGTGTGGTGATGTGTGCCACCCACTAAGGCAAATATTATTTTTCTAAATGTTGTATGAATCCGTCTATCTACTCTTGTCCAAGTAAATGTGTTGTTTGTTGTTGTTTTTTCTTGGAATGGCTAAAATGTGCTCTGTTTTTTCCATTGTGTTCTCATAATTTCTTACAATCACAAGTTTCAGTCTCCAGGTGTGTTTTTGTTGCAATTCTTTGTTCAAATGAACGTTCTTCATTGACTGATTAAAACTGAAGTCACCACACTTTTTATGTTCAAACAGCGAGGCATTTGACCAGAATCGTTAATGTCCTCAAAAGGAAAGTCTAACTGCACGCAAGAGTCGCCATGTGTACACTATGATGAAGAGCCATGCTAACGGAAAATGAATAAGGAAGACGTCTTTTTAAGAAGCGCAATCTACTCGCCAGTGGACAGCCCATCAGTATCGTTAACACTTCAGCAGTACTACATATTGACAATTAGCTGCCATAAAGCCGTGAGAGAAGAAAGCCCCAGTGGATAAGAGAATGGAAGGGGAAGTTTAGGGGATTAGAGGCAAGGGGTCCTATGTCATTGTGGAAGATTATCAGGAATAAATCGGTTAAACCTTTGGTCTGCATCAAAGCAAAACTATCTGCAAATCATACCTGGATTGATCCAGCGCTGTTTGCAAAGTTCACACGACACAAAACCGCATGATAGGCAGTCTGAGTAGGAAATGACAGCGTGCGTGGAATCGATTACATGTCATTTCCTGCAGGGTTCCCCATCACTTGCAACCAGGATCACGAGGGCGTCAGTTAGTAAGGCACTCATTTTTACTTTAGCGCCACGGCTCGACAACGTTTTGCCAGCAGCCGCTCGGAACAGAAAGCAACAATTTCTTTGATAGTCGGCGGTGAAATCGCTGTACCACACTCACGAACTAACTGAAACCTATGATTTTAAACTGCTGATCAAGTAACCTCTGATTGTGGGCCACTTCTCACAACCATAAAATAAGATCGCTCGTACATTCTCCCTGTGTGCGTGGTCGCTCGGCTTCGATAAAGTTTGGTTCACATGCAATAAGTGACGCAAATCACGCCTCGAGTATCTCTGCATAATAAATTTACCTGCTACATTACAACCGTGGCTTATGCTGCTGCTCATATGTACTTCTTTGAAGTGCCGGAGCAGCCCAAGGAGACGGGAGATAGATAAAGCTTTGCACTTCAACTATACGGGAGGAACACCGAAAGATGAGACCACCTCTGTTTGAAGTACTCCGTGTGAGCAAATGATCTTCAAAGACACAATAATATTGTTCGCATAATTCAAGTCTACTTTTTTCTCCGGAGGGAAGTTTGATGACTACATGCATGGTCTCTGACTATGATAACGGTAGTGGTAACTTTAAGGACCACCAACAACGTACGTTTCTGTTTTCAAAGAAGCTTTTAAACAGTGTGTCGCAAAGATTGTTGACAACCTTTAAGGGCATTCCTCTCTTGCCATGAATATTCAGGACATATACACTAATCAGAATGGAAAGTTTCGTCAAAGTCGAAAACCTTGTAAAGCTAACTATGCACCAGCCTTAATGTAAAAATAATTGATGTATCCTCGGCTTGGTCGAATCCATCCTTCGAGCTCTCGGACTTGTGTCTCAGATGCCACATTTAGGCGTCGCAATACAAACAACTAGTACCCGTGCTATGACACGGATAACACCTATACCTATTCGGACAACTTTTTAGAACACACACATGATCACCGACCGGTTGCAATTTTCTAGAATGTACATACAAACAAAACGTCAAGGCAGAGCACACTAGTTTCTCTTCATATTAGTACAACGCTGAAGAAGATTCATTGGGCTTAGAGGTTTAATGTTCTCATGAACCCAAAGACATATCTGAACGTCATAAACTGAGAGAAGATCTAGACTAAGATCACGGCTCAATGTCATCATCATCATCATCATCATCATCATCATCATCATCGACAGCATGACATCAGTGTTCAACACCGATACTTTACTGCCATACAATTATGATTTATTTGAAAGCCTTATTGTAAAGAAAAGAGCAAAGATGGACAGGGAAGGGACATAGTACTAGCTTACCACAATCATCCCGAGGTGCCTACACCTCCAGACATTCACTCAGGCAATCTGGATAGAAACTGACAACAAGAACGCCACTGACATTGGTTGGCAGCCATATCTTGTAGTGTCTCCAACCAGTCACAGTGAGGATCATGCGGTCCCCATCCTGGAAGGCGACTAGCACCGACAGCACCCAAGCGTTTCGTGGTTTCCTTCATACTCCTCTGCCAAGTCAATGTTGGCGGGTCGAATGAAAGAAAGAAATGTAAAACCTAAGGACCCATCATACTGTTGTCGAAAAATACTCGGCCTGGTGATCGAGACAATAATATATATATTGGATTTTCATTCTTAACTCTCGTAAACTTATGTACGCGGGCGTTCTATGACCTGATTTGCAAATTAGCTTGGATTGATTTCTTACACTTCTTAGCTTTTTGTTGTACGGCACCTCTGTGTTGACAATTAAGCTTCATTTGTGTTATCTCCCCATCGAACTTATCAAGAGATAGTGCCATCCATTAAGGAGTATTTCAGATTAACGTCTCTCTAACGTCGCATTGAGTTCTCTGCAGTTGAGACTACATCCCCTCGCTTTGAGTTGGTCAAGGGAATGGCCAGATCTCGATAGCTGTTCTTTAATAAATTCAACCTGCGGTTCTATTGTCCATAAACCGACATGTCAAACAACGGGAGTGTGCGAATTTAATCGAATTAGAAAGGCACATAGTCTGCAGTTTACAGATATCCATTCAGAGAGGTATACCTCAGCTCGACAAATAGTTGTTTACCAACCCTGGGGAACCCGCTCATCCACCCTAGTGAATGCAGCAAAATACCGACTTCAGTAATGTCATCACACGATGGCTGATACGGAGTGTTTGCTTTTATCAGACTGAAATCAGACTGAACACCCGGGCTTTGATAGGAAGACAATTGGTGACCTCAACAAGAGATTGGACTGAAAAGCTTGAGCACAAGTCAGTGGTAATTGTCT